CGTTTAGTGAGGTTAGGGAAGTATATATATATATATATATATATGATATTTTCTTGGAGATTGTGCCTTTTGGAGAGATTTAATCATGAATAATGTCTTATGCTCGTACACGCTAACTGCCTATAATAGCCGTGGACCTCATATCTGAGCGGTCTCGAGGTGGCTCAGTTGTTTAGGCGCGAACTTATGGGGCGAAAAACCCGTAGTTCGAACCCAGCCTCTGCATCTCGATCTCTTCGGTGTAGGCTCGGACAACCTGCTGGTATCCCAGTCCTCGTGTTTATTTCCAGTGGCATGGAAACTATGCACCAAAATAGTGTTACAGCTGAATGATCACCATATCCAAAAGCCCTTAGCGGGTCTTCAGGACCTTCTCTTGAACATCTTCTTACGGACTCGATCGACTAAACTATTTCATTACAGACAGTTCAACATGACCAAGATGTCGGTACTACGGTCGGGTTTTTAACACAGGCTCGAGTAAACAAAATCCCTATCTCACAAAAAGTTTGGTCATACTCCCTTGAAGCTAACGTATTTCGAAACTGGTTTAGTTAAAATCCGTATAGAATGCGACCAACTGCGTCGACCTCGATATTGTAAATTAACCCAAGTCTCTAGCTACTTTTGCGATTGGATTAGTTCTGCTTTTACTCTTACAGACCTCTTTTTCAAAAAAGCACCCAGGAACATATTTGAATACAAGGCTCCGAAAAATGTATCTTATGGAAAAGTTCTTCGATATTTGCACATTTCCAAAGGTCAAAGTTTGCTGCAATCATTTGTGCGCCAGCTGGTGTTCCGTAGTACTACGGAGGATGGGGAGGGGAGAACCGTGCAATGGAGGCGATAACCTAGTCAGTTAATGGACAGCGACTTTTCATCTTTTCTCAACGGTAGGAATGGACGTACATATAAATCAAAGATGGTATTTCTGATGTACTAGCACCACATTGCTTGATTGGTTCACAACTGCCAGTGTTGCCGACTGTCGTTTGCCTTGTGTCCAAGACCTCATCAGCCTACATACAAGAGGTCACTGTGACCAAGTATGCGAATCGAGGATTCCACATTTCGTTACCGACTCGTCGCCTCTGCCCCTTTTTCACCCTGTAAAGGGCTTAGCGAAAATGTATCCGGGCTATATGTTCTTATCAACATAGGTTATAGAATGTGATCTGTCCGTGTATCAGGGGTGAATTGACTATTCGGGAAAAAACAGCTGGCCATCGCTCAATACTGCCAGTCCGATGTTTTTAGCAGAACCGGAAAATGTGAGTTTTCCTAATTTTACCGCAAATATGGGGCGTGGTGTAGACCGTAAGGTTCACCGTATACTATACCTGTGGCGGAGAAAAACTATGTCTGGGTCCTACTGGTTACTATCGAAGGTGGCTGATGTATATTACAGATCCTTAACAGTATTAATCGATATTCATGTGACTGACAATACTTTTGATTTAATTTGAAGATGCAGTTATCTCATAAACAGCGAAACTCATGGCAGCCGGTGACAAGGGGATTGAATGGACCAAAACCATTCGAATTGCAAACGTTTGTCTGGGTTGAAAAATGTCTGAAACACGTCTAGGAGAGACTATTTGCTTTTTTTATGTTACACTGCATACCAAATTAATGAAAGTCAAGGGTTCTGTTTTTTTTAAATCAGCAGTAAGTCTTCTTCTGGTGAAGCGTTCAATGACACAAGTCAGGACAACCAAAACGGTGTTTACCCAGACACCCATTCTAATGCCAGTCAAAAGAGTTGAGTAGTTTAGACACTCTTATCGGACGTCCGGTCATCTCAGAGACCTGTAAGCTCTTCTCCTGTTTTCCAGCCAACGAGATGAGAACAAAATGAGCAAAACTTTGAATGACACCGTTCAGCTTTCCACCTCGTTCGACTTTCCACGGCGCCCCTTACTTCAATTTCATGGATTACTCTGATAAAACTTTAAGCGTACCTTTACTTCCTGCAACCGACTTTGGTTCTCAATCATTACGGAGTCGGTAACTTGTATCTGTTGCTCCAACTTGATTTGACATTCCTTGAGCTTTGTCTCTGTCACTTGAAGCTGACGGTTGGCCTGCTCCAACGATACTTTGGTGCTTCTGTTGCTCTCCTCTTTCTGCTTTAGTTCTTGCCTGAGCTTCTCAACCGCGGCCGATGTTACACGAATCTCTTCCATTTTGGCCTCGACTTCCGAACGGACTTGTTTTAATTCACGCTCCATCCGTTCTTTTCGCCGTAATTCTCTTTGGGCGTCTGTATTTCGTGCCTGTTTGTAAGTGTACACAGATTTATTGAGCAACAGATTATATCACAGACCTAAAAAGTATGGTTTCATACTGAAACTGGAGTTGCACCGCTCTCAGTCGCCCCCTCCCAATAAGAGACGAATCACCTGCATAGCTTACGTAGTTCTGCGTCATGTGGAGGTGAGGTGCCTCAGTAACCACCTCATGTTGATTCCACTTCTTGATTATTACAAAGAATGAAAACAGTGGTAAATACCGAATCGTACGTGTCGTTTATCGACAGCGGCATGCTATCCTAGCTGAGTAACAATCTGATAAAAAATGGATTCATTTTTTTCCAATGAATAAAACAAAATGCCCACCTGATAATCCCTCCTTAGAAAAGACCGTCTAACTTAAGCGAAATACACCCATTTGCATTGCACTTTGGGAGACTCACTGGGAACCCAGCTTAATCTCTCGTTTGTGATGTCCAAGAGTTTTCAGCAACCTTATGAGTAGTGTATTACGTCTATACATGCATCGCAATATCCCTAATATCTTGCCAACTGGTGCTACGGATTCAGTTGCTTAAGGATATCATAAATGAGGGATTCAGCTGGATTTCAAATGAGTCTCCCATCAAAACTAAATTGGTATGCAAACTAATGTGTGTCACTGTCAGACTAAGATGATACCCATTATCATTTTTATGACTACTGACTAGTCAGTTTCAACCGGTCACAGAAACAAGCGTGTTACGGCAATGCGGGAAGGTCCCCTGGAGTTCAGGTGCATTAGTCTAACGCAACATTCGCGCTATTTCTATTATTCAGTCATTTGATTGCCTAATAAGATGCAACATACATTAGCTCTTTCAAGAACTAAACCTATCCCCTCTTCATGATCAAAAGACTATACAAATGGCGGAGAAAATTAGGCAACGTAGACCGAAATGTTCACGATAGTGTTTTTTGCTTCACGCGGCCATTTTTATTAACCCATTTTCGGGTTGGCGATGTGTTCCTGATTCTGATGTAGGTTTCATTGACAAGCAAAAAATCCTATCTGGCTGCACTTCCTTTCTTACCGTCTCTGAAAAGCTTCATACAGTTCTCAGCAACCTGAGCGATAACATGATGTGGGGGTTATTCAATCCTATTTTCTTCGGTCAATCCTGATTTTTATTGTGTTTTCACACAAGAAGTAAACTAGTGGTAAAGTTGGATGACATTCTGAATGAGTTTTTAGACTAGTGGGCATGGAACTCAGTTTCAAACATTTTTTAGATGTCCAACCTATTCGTGTCCCACAGTGCGTATTTGGTTTGGAAGTTAAAAAGTTTCCCCCTTCCGTCCACGTTGATCGATTCATGCAAACAACTAGGCATTCAGATAGGGAGGAAAACAGATAACCTCGTACAAATAGATTCATACCAATTCGGCTTTCATTGGAGACTCATCTGAAGCTCAGCTGATTCTCCCAATTGTGATGTTTTATGTATACCGTACAAACTGAAATAAGAGGTGACCTTTGTGCAGCACATTTGGTTGAAGAATATTATGCTAGTTGAATCCAACTGGGACCCAAATGAGTCCCCTGTGAAAAGCAATTTGCTGTGCAAATAAATGTATTTTTCGGATCTCTGCTTACCTGTATTTCTTGAGTCAGCTCCGCAATTTTTGACTGAGCTTCAGCAATTTCGTTTTGGAACATGACTGTCCTGCTTCTCGCCTCTTCCACCTGTTCTCGCAGTTTTCGATTCTCTTCCTGCTGCTCATCGCGTTCCTTTATCAGCCTCTCCTTCAATTTCGTCATTTCTGCCAAACTAAAATATACGCATTTCATTGTTAAAAAATCAAGGGTAAGCTCACATTGAAATACTGAACGTAAATAGTTGCTAGCCTAGCACTTGTAAATGTTCTTTCGGAAGCCACAAAATTTATTTCCTACCTATGGTACCAAAATACGGCTGGAGGACTCAATTTGCTTCCCTGTCTCACTGGGAGAAAAGGTAAAAATTGACGAAATACACTCATTTGTAAACTAATTTGGCTCTTCAAGAAACTTACCTGGAACCTAGCTGAATCTCTCGGTTTTGATGTTCCCAGGCAACTGCATGTGCTTCACCAGGCCGCCCCTCGAAAAACCAAATTAGTTTGCAAATGAGTGTATTTCGCTCATTTCGTGCAGTTCGGTTTCAAGTAGAACATGAGGTTGACGGGAACTCGGAGACTGCGCCTAACTGATGAGCCCCAAGAAGAGCGAAACCGGTCGTGGGCTGTCGAGGAGTTTTCCGAAAAAATTGTCTTTTAGTAATACCTGCTCCTGTTTGAAGATAGGTTTTTCTCTACCTAACCATTTCAACTGATATGCGTCTAATTGCACCGAAACTAAACTGAATACCAGTGATTTCTGTCGGAAAGCTAGCTTAGATATGCCGGATAGCAAAAACTATATTCCTCTCCACATTTAGCCCTTTCTTCACTACTAGGCCATTTATCACGCAATTGACTTAGTTTTGCAGTTAGTTTCCGCTGTTTTATGTTGATAAACAAACTGATAATACGTCATTGATTATGGTGTTGACGATGTAAATGGCCGTATACTCTAGAAACCATCATTACATTGAATTTCCAGATCATCCAAACCAATTGGTTTTCTTGCCTCCTCCTGCGAATTTTAAAATGTATATTAGATGCATTACCACGATATGGTACAAAGAAGAAAAGATACATTGTAATGGCAAATAAAGGAGACGGAATGACAATAGTTTCAGAGAGAACCCGAGTTAATAGTTAAAAACTTCACAAGAGAAACGTTACATCGTGTAAAAAAATAATGGTGGTATTTCGGCTGTTATTACTCTCTCGCTGTCTAATCATCACGCCACTTCCAAACTGCCCAAGCGAAGGCAAAAGCATTCGAGATACTGGGGTTAATTTTGATCCAAGCACTAGGTTTTCAACCTAATTATTTAGCTATCTCCAGTTAATGCTTTTTAGCGACGTTCAAATTGACACATCCGAGCGCTGTGTTGAGTGGCATACGGTTGGAAAAAAGCATCGTTCATAAATTCACTCCTCAAGAGCGCTGCACACGTAAGTAGGTTAACTTCAATTGACTAAATGACTAGCGTGCTTGAGACTATTTTTGAGAAAAACAACAATGGCTCAAATATTGTGCAGCATTGAGCCTGACAGTTACGTTTTTGCGTTCCTAAACCAATGTCTCTTTCTACTCAAACTCTTAAGCAAGCAATCAGTCAGGTAAACCAAGCTTTCAATAGATGCTCGTTTACTATACAAATTAGGCTCACAAACCACATGCTATAACTGCTGTGTCAGTGATTTCAACCTACTACTAAATTTTTATCACCGCATCGATTCCAAGGTCCATGCACCGACCAAACCACTTCAAAAACAAAGTAAACAGTGGCACACTTCCGAGGACTAGTAGGTTTCACCACAAATGGTAGATTTAGGCAAAATTTGTTGAGTTCTTGACATTTTAAAAAAGCCATCAAGGTAAGACTATTGAATTTGTAACTGGAGTGAACGACAAACCGAAGGTCACCATCTAGAAGTACCAGGAAAATTCAACTAGCTTGAAAGGCCTACAATTTTTTGCTCGAGGATAGTACTGTGTCACAGTTAGAAACTACTTGCAAATTTTATTTTAGGTTAAAACTAATAAACACATGAAAGTGAGGCAAAATAGCCGGTTCGGAATGCTAATAAGTATTTCATCCTGAAAGCTGAAAACCGGGAGTCACTATCTTGGTCTTGTTGAGAACCATCAGAATGTATGTGTAAGGAACTTTCAGGGTTATTTCAACCCAAATATCCTGTCTACTAGTCGAGAATTATGACATTTGGTTGTGAGTGGCTGTTAAACAGCTTGTTTAGCATCATTCATCCTTCAGAGCATGAATTCAGACATTACGGCTTGTCGGTCTTTCAGCGTAAGTTAGCCTGGATTAAAGGATGAAGCCTCCTAGCGGTACAGTCCTCAAAGACTGTCTGAGTGATTTTGACCTGAATCTCTTGAGTAATCAACAAGATAAGCACGGATTACGTTCAACGAGGGTAACAGTCATACTTCGCTATTTGGTTCTCTAGCACAGACCAGCTACAGTGGTTGGGTTAAACCTCTTTTAGAACTCCATAAAACGTCCACACTGCCATCACACCATGGTCAAAATAGTCCAAGCTCACTAGTTATTCCTTATGTGATTTGTTGCACGTAATCATGGGTTCATTTCGCTTACAATTTTTTGGTTACAGTTGCATTGTGTCTCGCATAAACCTTTGTCCTAATAACATGGTACAGATTTAATTTGTATCTCAAATGTCAATGGTACTCACACAGATTATGAGACGACCAGTAAAAGTTTAAGCATTATTTATCTCCTACTGGCGTTATATTAAGTACTCTGTGATGAGACGTGCTTATTTTGGTAAATATCTTTTGTGCCGTCAAAAGGTTTCTATGAAGCCTATTCTCACAGTCAAATCTTTGTTCTCTTAAAATTAGCGTTTGTATTTCTGTGACCATTTTTCTCGTTTGATGCTTTGCCGGTGGTAAACCTGTTATTTTAGCAATCGTTCCCTGCATCGTCCTTGCCCTATTTATAACCCCTTCTTACTCTGTGGTTAGTTATTAGCATGCATCTAGGTTTACACTTGGGCGATCACGGTCTCTGGGAACGAAGATAATGACCAACAGTGGCCAAGTCTAACCGACGTGAAACGTTAGTGCAGTCATTTGTGTCTAACCATCAAGATCTGGGGCAACTGCGTTTTGTTTTTCAATAGACATAAAACTGGACAAAAACCAGATAGTGGTCATTTAAACTGACTAGTTCTCGTAGCAAAAGGTATACTTGCAAAATGTACTCAAATAACTCTCATTTGAATGAGCATAAACGTTAAATTTCACCGTTGGGTCATGAAACGTGCATGTTAAACCATCTAATTTTATGCCCTACACTCGGTGTTTAAAAGTAGTAATAACAGCTCTGTAGACAGGCGCATTATACCGCCATGAGGATGATCCGTCACGAAGGGACTGGACCTTAGTGTTGCGGCGGTTTGTGTACCTCGGTGATCCATTGGGCTATACTGGGGGTGTCTGCACGACACTCACAATCTCATACCAGGTTCGTCCATGGGTATAGGTCTCCTAGTTCTCCAGGCTGATTTTTGTACCATGTGTGGTGACGTGACCAGGTTCGTCCATGGGTATAGGTCTCCTGGTACTCCAGGTTGGCTTTTGTACCATGTGTGGTGACGTATTTCGCGAAAATGGTAATGTACCTGCATTCCCAGCCCAACGCTGCTGCCTTGCGGTTAGGCTTTTGAGCCAAAGGCTTTGGTTGAGGACCCTAATCGTCCTTCTTTCTAAGTGTGGGTGTCCTGGCAGTATCCCTGCCCTCGTACAACCATGACATACACAACAAACAATACTCTCATGCCACATCGGCCGTCGCGTGATACCATCAGCCGGGTCGCCTTACACGCTACATACAACAGGGCGGGTATTCTTCTACTCAAGCGTCATTGTGGTGCTGGTCCTGATGACATTCCACTTGCTCTTTTCAAGTATGACCGTGGATACCTCATCCGGTGCCTGGCTAGCCTATTTCGATCTATCGTGGAGAAGAAAACCGTCCCAGACAACTGGCGTAAATCAATAGTGGGGCCCACTTCCAAAAAGAGCACTCGCAGTGAATGTAGCAACCACAGAGGTGTTAGTTTGACGCCTGCTATGACGAGGCTTCTGGCGTCACTGATTCTTCGTCGTTTCACTGTAGCACGCGAAGTCTTGACTTGTGAGATTCAAGCGGGATTTTGACTGGGTAGAGGCTGTGTTGACCGCATCTTCACACTCCGTCAGGTGTTAGAGCAACGCCACATTTACAGACGACCCACAATCCTGGTATTCCTTGACTTCAAGGGTGCGTTTGATTCTGTTAATCGATCAGTGTTATTAACTACACTTGCTCAACAGGGTATGCCCCAGAAGTTTGTAAACATAATCCGATCTCTATATTCACATACTTCTGGGCGGGTAAGGGTGTATGGTGAACTCTCCAAAAGCTTCACTACATAAAGTGGTGTCAGAGAAGGATGTCCACTCTCCCCATTCTTGTTCAACTTCGTCATCGATGAAATAATGGGGCGAACACTGGATGGTCTTCAAAACTCCGGTGTTCAAATTGTTGCTGGTGAGAGCCTTGTTGATTTGGAGTACGCAGATGACGTCGTCCTCATCTGTGAAAACCAAAGCGAAGCACAAACCTTGTTGAGTAAACTGATCACCATCATACCATTTTTTGGCATGCGCCTTGCACCTTCAAAGTGCAAAGTCCTGCTTCAAAACGTGCCATCTGCGAACATATCCCTTACAATTCAAGGAGAACCACTGGAGATTGTGGAAAACTTCACATACCTAAGTAGTTGTATTAGCTCTGACGGAAGTGTCTCTGATGGAGCCAGTGCAAGAATCTCAAAGGCTTAAATCACGTTTGCTAAATTGCGTCAGTTGTGGCGTCAAAAAAGCATTTCACTGGATCTCGAGGGTCTTGTGCATTAGACCGCAGTAGGGGGTGTGTTATTGTATGGGTGCGAGACATGGCCTCTGCCGGCAGACGATGTATAGCGTCTCCAGGTTTTCGACCACCGATGCCTCAGAAGCTTGGCTGGTTGTGGATGGTGTCAGCGTGTATGTAACGAGCTGATTAGAAAACGTGTATTTGGTTGTGCTGCAGGTATTTCAATCCGAGAAAACATCCATCCCCATCAACTACGATTGCTTGGGCATGTGCTACGTATGCCGAAACACCGTCCACCAAGACGACTGCTGTACTCTGTGCCTTATTCAGAAAGGCGCAATCTAGGAGGTGGATAGTGCATGACTTGACAGAAAGGGCGTGAAAGAGATCACGAAGAGTTTGGGTGTTGTTGGTGTTGTACGTTTTCCAAGATGGAGTCCCCGTGACCCCGTCTGTGCTTGGCTGGAGACGTTGCAAGAAATGTCGGCCAGCCGATGTCAGTGGCGTTCGTGTTGTCAGTTTCTTTTCAGATAGTCTGACTGAGCGGTTGGATATGTAGGCACCTCAGTATGCTTGACATAGGCCAGCATTAGGTCCCCTCCCTCCCCAACTCTTTTTCTGTTCTCTTCACTGTAGGGCTCTTAATACAATTATATATATATATATATGTAACTAGACGAACCTTATGGTTGTACGGCAGTGAAGCATCAGTACCAGCACTGATGTCATTATCTTTGATGATGACGATGATCACACCCGTGTTAGTTCCTTCTTATAGCTCTATATCCTCCCATCATAACGTGCTGTTGTGAACGTGCCAATCTTTTCGAAAAATTAACTTATATATAACTTCGGTACTTCTGAAGAAAACTTATAGGTGCTAAGTTTGGAGCATTAATCCTCTGAGTGACATGAATTCCATAATTTAAACCGCATCAATGACCAATGGCCCATTATAATCACTGTGAAACACCTGACTGGCACAGTCACTTAACAGATGCACCAATCTCAACAAACCCATCTTAATTAAAGTAGTCTAACTTGACTCAAAGAATAACATTACGTAAAGAATCTGCGCGATCATAGCGGGTAAGTAAGTACAGCCTTGCTTCAAACTTCACAGTAATTTCGGGATACCTTCTTAAAACAGCTAATCCCATCCAACACTGAAGCATTCCGAAATATGTGACTAAACCTTGGCTCGACCGGAAGGTCGGATGAAATAAGCAACCCCATCCATACCTTCCTCGAAGTATACAAAAAAACCTCTTGAATTTCAAGGACGGTTTGCAGTTGCCTCCGATAGACTTACACCTTCGTAATCACTCGTTTTTGCAATTCACCTTACACATCCAGTAGGACCAACATGGGTTCTGATCTGGACAGAGTATTGCTGAGAAGCGCCGTCGATTAATTAAGCATTACCAAATGTATTTCTTTTAGTTCGCTGCAACTACGAAAAAGCATGCAGGTCAAATTTCTAATAGCGTCTAATAAGACAACTATAAAATACGGATCCATCAAATTTTTCAGTCAGCACAATTTTTCACTTACATTGTACCGCAAGAGTAGACCTGTTATTCTGATTACGTGTAAAGGGAAGGGAAAAAATACTTCGAACCTTATTCTTTGCTTAGGACAAGGTTGTAATAAGGTAAAACAAGCGGCTATCTGGAAAATTATCTAACACTATTTTGTAATGTTGCAGCGGGTCCACAAAAGGCACACGATAGCGATCGGATCTTAAGGCTTAATATGAGGAGCCAAAAAGGTACGATTTATTCCTGCCCAGATTTGTTCATCTGGTACATCATACCTGCTTAACGTGGATCAGAACTGAAACGCGACGACACCCGTCATCATCATCATCATCATCATCGGCATCATCATCATCATCATAATTATCATCATCATACGCAGCAGCAGCAGCAACAACAACAGCAGCAGCATCAACTGTGAGTTTCTTCACAGTACCATTTGACTCACCTTTCCACACCAGTTGCAGCCCCACCCTGTTCAACCAACTTGCTGAGATGCGCTATTTCTCCTTTCAATCTGTCAATTGTCTCGCGGGCTCTTGTTTCCTTTTCTGCGGCTAAATCAACCAATTTCCAGGCTTGTTCAACTTCTTTCTTCAAATTCGCCATGTTTCCAGGATCCTCACTAGATAGCTTGGTAGCTTGAGAAACTTTAGCTGAGTTGGAAACTATTTCTGCTTTCAGTTCTCTACACTTTCGCATCAACCGCTTCTCATTATCATGGGATTTGATCAAGGCCTTCATCAACTTTTCGTACTCATCTTTGAATTTCTCCAAACCCTTATTACCCATCAACTCTTCCATAACCCCGTCATATTCCTTTTCGAGCGCCTCAAAAGCATTGTCGTCGATAGCTGGTTTGATCATAGGTTTCTTCTGGTCGGTTTGCATTTCTTCAAGTGCTACACTGGCATCAGCCTGATATACTTGTCGACAAATGTGACATATTTCAATTAGTTGGCGTTGAAAAAACGCTCCATCTAATGACTATGACGATGACCTTCACGGGTTCACGGATTGATATACAGGATAAGGGCTTCCGTCCGAATGTTCGGGGCGGGTTGGTTCTTGTCGTTCAGCAGTTTCGGTTCGCCTGAAAGACACAAGCGAAAAATTTGGAAATACCGTTTAGCATTTAGCGCTGGACCGATTAAAGGTTGGTAGTCATTTTCGTAGCAGCTCGCTGGACACGGTCAGTGAGGTTTACGTCCTTCGTGAGTCCTTTGTAGAAAACCTAGTTGGCTTATTCAAGAAACGGTCTTATGTGGGCCCCACAGGACATTAAGAAGTCCATGCGGGCAGGACGGGGTAAGGTGTGTAAAATCATCGGTGAAACCGAGAATGCCTTTTGAGCCGATTTAATATATGCCGCGGAAAGGTAATATTTTGAGAGGGCCATATTCCGAACTCCTCCTTGGCATCTACCCTCGTAAGGTCTTCGGGTGTGCTCTCACTATGCACGACAGATGCGTTTGCTGAGTGCCCTGCGAATGACTTGTGGAAGCTCTTTTCGTCCTTCAGAGGAATGTGTTAGTCCAACGACCGATGCTCTGTAGCATCTGCACCCATTTGGAAAGTCTTGGCATTTGAAACCCAGGAGTTCAAGTGATCCTCAAAGGTAGATATGGACCCGAAAGCAAATTTGAAAGTTCAGTGATGTAGATGGGAAACAGATACGGTCTCAAAACAAAGCCCTAAGGAACTCCAGTTGAGACTGGCGCCGAAAAATATTTGGTTTACCCTACGTTCAAAAGGAATATGTTTTCTGGTAGGAACGCCTCAATCCAGCGAAGAATTTCCTCTTGAATCTCGTAAGCTTCGAGCTCGTGGAGCAGCCGTAAAAAGAGTCGGTCTTGTATGTTGCACATTGAAGTTTGACAATACGTTGGGCTGTCACGCGGTACACGGTATTTGTCACTGACATATTGAAAGAGTGAGCAAGGAACGTCAGGATATAACGTCCTGTTTGCCTTGAGTTCTGTAAACTGGTTTTATCAATCAGTTATCGAGATAATTACATAGTGACGTAAGCAGATGTTTTTACTCCGTTCAGTGGAAATCTCCTCTGTTGGCTGGGGCTGAATCAATTGAACACTGTCTGTATATAGGTGCCCCTAAAATCCGGGTCCATGTTTTAGATAACCCTTCATGCTTTATGTGAGTTCAGTTTTCCCTCACCCTATCGGATTCCCAACTTAATGGGTCCATCAGACCGAAACCAAGACAATTTTGGGAATTTGCCGCAGTGGTCATACTTCGCGCGGGTACACAAAAGCTTACCCTCCTAGGAATGCTACTTGCACCGACTACAGTTTTATCTCAGAACCCTTGGTATACATTGACCGATGCCCTCGCGGTAACCTCACTCGTCTCCCATGGTGCAATTTAGCTCTTAACAAACAGGAGGGAAGTCGGTCGCCTCTGAGGTGAGTGCTGAGAGAACTATTGAGCATCTATTCAGACTACCTCTGGAACAAATAAGCGGCACGATAACGATCTCAAGACTGCGGCTACTCCCCGTTGTTTAAGCCTTGCCTATGTTCTTGATGTTGGTCTTTATTTGCTGTCGTCCTGTGGGAGAACGTATATTGAGCTACCCATAATTCTTCGCCATTTTTGTCGAAGGTTTCATCCAACAATCTCTGAAGGGTGAATGTTAACCAATCTCCAAATGGCTTGTAGAAATAATATTTTTTTCGTCTGATAGGGAGCATGCCAATTGGGACGCGATTGAGCCGTTACAGTGGCAAAGAACGACAAAATTGATGGGATGACAAAATCAAGGTACGTGACTATCACGTGGTAGGTGATAGTACTTTGTGGGAAACTAGAAAAGATGAAATACTGTGGCAACATACAAGCTTGTCGATTTTAACTAAGCCTGAAAACCGTAGCCGACTACGAGTGAACTTGGACGTATGAATTAACGATCGCAGTCACGAAAGCTCAAGTGAAAATGATCAGATGAGACATTCACAGCAGAGGTAAATGACAAGTTGCGCCCAAAAAGCATGATGTACATCGAAATCAATTACACTCAATGATTTCCTGATTACAAGGAGTTACACCTAGCACTTGATGACCGCTTTTGCCATGCACCATTCGTTTTCTTGAGCGCGCAGCATTGACTCGGTGACTGGTGATCCTCATTCTTAATTTCCTGTTAGGTTGACGTAGTAGACCTCAGTTAAGCTACGATTCTTATCAATTATCTGGAAAGCCGTTGCTTGTCTGCTTTTCACTTATCCTTTGTCACTGCTCACATTAACCACTCTTTCTGCACAACGAGGACCCGATGTCATGACGCTTTGGCGAGCAAAAAATACCGTTTCTTCTCAACTAGTCCAACAGCTAGCCCCCCACTATCTACCTCGACGACAACGTTCTCACCTTCCTAAAACTAGGCACATACTCTGGCCCAACCAGTACTTGGTCTCTAGATCAGCAAACGTATCCACCTTTCTTGGGTCCATTTAGCTTGCTGTCATCCCTTTTTTAGATTTTTTCTATCGACGCCGTTGCATTTTATGCCTCCTAACACCCGCCATGCGCTACAGCCTTCATTATATCCCTTCCTCGTCGTCCCTCTTCCCAAGCTCCAACCCTCGACTGCAGTTGCCCAAACGCCCATTAGAACTGTTATTCGTTCAAACTGGCTGGTGTCCGGCCTACACCCACACAGTTCACCTCCCTGTGTCAATCTCCGTCACCCAGAACAAGCTGTCACGAAACTGCGTATCCCTTCTGCGACCCTTGATGACCGTTATGGGGCTGTCCGTAATGGTTTTCTAGTTTTGGTTCATATCAGCCGATTAAATTAGTCGGACCTCATGCCTATTGTTCCATATAAGTTGCAAAAGAAACATATTATTATTATTTAATCGAGTGCTTCCCACTGTTTATGACATTGTCCCCTTTTTGCGCAATCTCCACTACCCGCAAATCCCCCTGTCATACCCCAGTCTGACGTTATGCCACCTACAAGTGTGAAATATACATCATTATTATTATTATTATTATTATTATTATTATTATTATTATTGTTATTTACCTAACCTCCCAAGGTCACTCATGGCTGGCAATGATTTTCAGTTTTAGTTCATGCCATCTGGTTGTCTTTGAACCAGTCGGACCTCATGCACTTTGTTCCCACCATGTTGGGAAATAACCTATTATTACTATATCATCGGATATTCCCCACTGATTATGACATTGTCCTCTTTTTTGTGCAATTCGCAGCCCCACAAATCCCCCAGTCATGCTCCATTCTGACTGTAAAACTATGTAAAACGCTATGCCACTAGCAAGTTGGGAATAAACATCATCATCATTATCATTATCGTATTTGGAGGCAAACGAGCTGTGGTGGATATTTGGGAGGGAGAGGCAGAGTCAATGCATTCAGGCGAATAAGCCACTTGAGTAGGATCGCCGAATCTGTGAACGGGACAAAATGCGATTTCAGTGGGATACCGAAATGGTCAAATATGAAATAAGCGTTGACTAGATTAAGACGAACCCATCCCAGAGGCGGTTGGGGCCAGGCAAAAATTTGCTCGCATTTGTTCTAGCCAGTTTGATTTCTACAATCTACGATTACTTCTCACAGATGAGCCTGCCTCTCTGGGTTTACTTTCCTTCTCGTTGTGCTGTTACCCACCACTTTTAAACCGTAGTGGCCCGATTATGTATAAATTGGAGTGATCACTACAAGTTGAGAAATTAAGTGGCAGCTTCTAGTCCCGTTAGTTTTCGTCAAAAACACTCCACTGAGTAGGGATGCAGTGTGAGTGGGGACGGCAGGCACATACGGACTGATGGAAACTGTTGGATTGATGAAAGCACAAAAAAGGTCATGGATGTCCGATCCGGACATCCATAATTATTCCTAGGTTAATCATTTTGCCACGATAATGAAAGTCCGAAAGGAACTTCTGTGAGTTACGAAGAGTCATTCATTTAAAAGACAGAAGTTTCGAAGTATTTTTTATTCTAACCTTTAAATTCGTCCACCATAACGGAGGACACACAAATGTGTTCAACCGAATGAATTAAACGCTCCAATAATGGCAGGCCACCAGGCGAACTTCAGTCAGCTTAGTTCAGTAAAAAAACAATTTTTTGCTGGAATACCGCAACGGCCAGTTTCTTGTGCTTGATGATAGACGAGGGGCTTCAAATTGAATTAGGGGCAACCTGCAAGCGTGCAACTTGACCATTGTCCTTCCCTCCAGGTTGCGCGCATGCACCGGATTCAAGGATTGATACACAGAATCGAGACTTTTGTCCAAGCATCACGGAACGCTTTTGTACTTGTCACGGATTCACGGGTAAACGGATTGATAAACAGGATCGAGTTTACTGCCGAAGCTTCCTGGGTCAATTTTGGCCTTGCCGGTCAGCGGCTATCGTCCACCTGAAAGTCACAAGTGAAAAAGGGCGTAGCATTGCTCCCTAACTTCTCAGCGCGGGGCAGTATGCTTGCCAGCTCGATGACTCGCATAAACAAGTGTCTAATAGTACTTTAAACTGGGTTCTAGAGGGAGCGTAGACAACCGTCAGAGAAAGATTATTTCACGCAGCTACTACCTGAAATGAGAAAAAATTTACCTAGTGAACGTGTGCGATCTGAGCTTGAAAATCTTACCATGTCCCCGCCGTGTGTTCACTGGGTCAACGGTGGAAAACCTGTTATCCAAGCTTTGTTCAAACAGGACGTAAGTAAAAATTTGGTTCCCTTGGAAGCGACGATGCTTTAGGGGAAAGCGCTCAAGCACCGCGAGAGGCGTTTTATAGACCATGGACTTGAGGCCGGCAACCATTGTCGTAGCGGCTCGCTGGACACGCTCAATGAGGGTGACGTCTTTCGTGCGTCCTGAGTAGACAACTTGGTTGGTTTATTCAAGGGGCGGTCTGACGTAGACCCCATAGAGTCTTTGGAAGTTCATGAGAGCAATACGGGAGAAGGTGCACCAAATCATCCGTAAAACGGCTAATGCCTTT